TTGCCCCTGGACCTGTGTGGAGGCGGTGTGAGAGCTGGAATAAAGAATTGCTGTTTGAACCTACGAAGGTGTGTGGTGGCTCGTGATTCTGGTGCCAAGCCAAGACCTTGGCATAGTTTTAAGTTGGTCACAAAAGAAGAGGGGTTGATGATAGACTGAGGCACAGCAAAAGATGGATGTGAGGAGGCAGAGATTCACAAAGGAACTACATATTCATCTTCACAGTGGGAAAACAACAGATAATACCTAAAACTGAAACTAGATCATTAGCCAGATGAGATTATGGTGTACACCTATAATCCCAGTGAGTTGGGAGGCTGAGGCAGGAGGATTACAAATTACAGGCTAGCCTCTGCAATTTAGTAAGGCCTTGTCTCAAAATAAGAAATACAAAGGGCAGGGTTGTAGCTCAGTGGTGGAGCACCCTGGATTCAATCCCCAATACCAAAAACAAAAAATCCAAATCAAATACAAAACAAACAAACAGACAAAAAAAAAAGAAAGAAATCCTGAAATTGCAGCATAAACATGTTATTTAGAAATATAAAACAGACCCAAGGAGTTTAAAGTTGTTGCACTAAGGTATGGAAAATTGGATAAGATTTAGAGAGCTACTTCATTTTTTTAAAACTATGTGCATGCATAACCTCAATAAAAATAAGACAAAATATTATCCTCAGTGAGGGGTTAAAAGGAATTAACACATAAAATGAAAAGCAAATGATCAAACTAAAACTACCACCAAAATTAAATAGTGCCTTAAGAAAATATATTTAACAAGTCTGTTTAGTATATATATTTTAAAGTCTTCTCAGATTTTCCACAAAAAAATTTTGAAATTCTACTTCTCTATGTGCAAGTATACAAAAACGCATGTATAAGGGCATTTGTTATAGCATTGTTTGTAACAACAAAATATTGAGAACATCCAGAAATGATTAAATATAAGGAATTGGTTAAATGAGTCATAACTATTTAACCAACAGAATACCATAAAATGGGGAGAGGTGTGTATATATTTATATCACATGGAAAGTTATCTGTGCTATATGTTGAATGAAAAGGAAACAGATTATAACACTGTATGGAGGTAGATTATAAGCTAGTATGAAGGGAGTGTCTAGAAGAATGTATCACAAAATTTTTATAATGATGGTCACTGCCCCTAATGTTAGCATAAATATTTTTCTTTACATTTTTATTTGTGTATTCCTATTTCTTATATATTAAAATGCTTATCTTAATATAACAAAGTATTTTAAAAGCTTTTTCCAGGAAAGTATAATCCATAGCCTCAGAGAAAATAAGTCCTTTAATTTTTTGCTGAAGTAAAGAAATAGACAAAAGTTACCTGATTAATGGCTCCCAACATCTCAGCCCTACTGGCTACTCGAGTTGCACATTGGCTGAGGAACGTTATACTCTTCTCCAGCTTCTTAATGACTTCCTGGGCCTGGTTGTCCTCTTCACACAGAGGTGTTAAAGACTGCATAGAAAGTATGTTTAATTAAAAGATACAGAACATAAGCATTAAACAAGAGAGTCTTACACTAAGTCTAATCTCAATTATCTTGGTGGAAAGTTGAAAAGAAACAGCAATGACCAATAATGAATGATATCAAAATATTTTATCTTTGCTGGCTAACAGGTAGGCATATGCAAATGTTCACAAAATCTTTTAGATGTCTTCGTAAGCTATTCTTTTTATAATTCCCAAATGTGCCATTTCTTCCTGAACATTCATATTTTCTTCTATGGTTAATAGGATGGGATATCATTAATTGGCAATAGTAAAGAGATTTTGCTTAGAAATGAGCTGAATGTATCATATGAACAGCAAAGGATAGAATTTTGAGAAAAGCAGCATAACAGTGGAATTAGAACTGGCTCTGACTACTATGCCTGTTCTTCTGTTGATGATCACATGGTATTGGGCTAGCTAGGTGGGTATGTCTTTATTGCCTCATGAATATATTTCCCTGAAAACCTGTGAACTTTATCTAAGATGATGTCCTCCCTGATGAAGGACCATCCTTTTCACTAGGGTAAAGACAAACTTTAGAGAAGAGCATATTTAGAAGCCAAGTATCCACCACTCATTAGCCTACAATTATCATCAAATTTCTAAAACATGACCAAATCAAAAACACTATGAATTATAACAGGTGCCATTATTTTGTATATCATTAAGTAAAAGTGTTGCCAATAAAACTGAGGCACCATTAATTATAAATTACATAACTCCGAAGATGTTAAGATATCAATTGTTTTTATTTCCTATTTTCCTATCAGTCCGATGAAATCAGACATCTTCTTTCCAAGAATACAGCAATATGAAAAGTAATGGATGCCAAATGCTTTTCACACAGTAGGTGCTCAATGAATTGCAGCCAGTTCTGAAACAGATGGTTAGATCTAAGTTGTAACCAGAGAGTTGTTAAACATCTAGAAGGACTTTATCAGACATGTAATTCCCTATAGTTGTTAAAATGACAATCTCCAGGAGCTGGGAATGTGGCTTAGTGATAGAGCACTTGTCTATCACGTGTGAGGCTCTGAGTTCAATCCCTAGTACCACAAAAAAGGAATTATAAAAATAAATGATTAACTACCTCCAGTTGGGAAGGGAAGAACAGATATTAGTTGTAAACTGAACAGATATGGTTAGCCTAGATTGAATCACGAAGAAATAAAGAATCTAAACAAACCAACAATTAGTTAGGAGAATGAGTCAATAATCAAAAACATCCCAACAAATAAAGGTCCAGGACCAAATAGCTTTACTGGAGAATTCTAACAAACATTAAAAGAAGAAATAATGCCAATTACTTAAAAACACTTTTAAAATTCCAACAATGGGGAATACTACCACACTTACTCTTTGAGGACCCCATTACCTTGATACCAAAGCTGGACAAGAAAGGAAACTAGATAAATAAACCTGACAAATATTGATGCAAAAAAAATCATTTAAAAATGCCAGCAATCTGAATTCAAGAGCATATAGAAGATATTATATAGCCTGCTCCAGTGGGATTTAGTTTTGGAATGCAAACATGAACGACATATGAACATCAATTATAGCATACCACATGCTAACAGAAAGGAACACAAAAATCATGCTTTGTTCAATTGATGTAGAAAAGGCACTTGATAAGATTCAACACTTTCATGATTTAAAGAAAACACATCAAAAAAACTAGGAACAGGAAATTACCTCAACATAATAGAAGTCATACATGAAAAACCCACAATGAACATCATACTCAGTGGAGAAAGACAAAACTATTCCTCTCAGATCCCACCCTTACCACTTCTATTCAACATATTAGAACATTAGTGCTATAACCAGAACAACTAGGGGGAAAAAAGAAAGAAAGAAAAAAGAAAAATTTTAAAAAATCCAAATAAGAAAGGAAAAAGCAAAAATATCTGTTCAAAGATGGCATGATCTTTTGTGTAGAAAACACTAATGATTCCACATACACAAAACCTGTTAGAATAAAGAAATTTAGCAAAATTATAGGATTTGATCCTCAGCACCACACAAAATAAAGGTATTGTGTCCATCTACAACTAAAAAAAAAAAAAAGAAAGAAAGAAAGAAAGAAAAGAATTCCATTTACAATAGCATAATAAAGGAATAATACTTTGGAATAAACCTAACCAAAAAGAGAGAAGTATTGTCTTGTATATTGAAAACTATAGAACATTGCTGAAAAAAGTTAAATACACAAATAAATGAAAAGATATCCTGTGTTCATAGATAAGTAGATCTAATTTGAAATATCCATACTACCCAGAGCAATCTACAGATTCAAGACATTCTCTAGTAAAAATCCCATTTTTTTCCATAGAAATAGGAACATGTGGGCCTGATAGTATCTTATATCTTATATCTCAGTGGTAGAGCTTATGCCTAATATTTATGAGACCCTTGACTCAGTACATCACCAAAAGAGCAGATACAAGACTAATGAAACAGGAGAGCCTGGAAAATAAACTCTTGTGTATATGGTCAGTTGGTCTTTGAGAAAGTACCAAGAATGCACAAGGGAAAAAAATCTGTTCAACAAACAGTGTTGAGAAAAGTGGCTGTTCATATGCAAAAGTATGAAATTGGACCCATCCTCTGTACCATATAGAAAAATTAACTCAAAATTGATAAAAGACTTAAAAAGTAAGAATCCAAGTTAGAAAACTCCCGGAAGAAAACACAGAGGAAAAGCTTCATAGCATAGAATTGAGCTACAATTTCTTGGATAGGATACCAAAAGAACAGACAATAAAGGTATATAAAAAGAGAGAGAGAGAGAGAGAGAGAGAGAGAGAGAGAGAGAGAGAGAGAGAGAGAAACAAATGGAACTATGTTAAAAGCTTTTTTGCATCAAAGGACCAGATTAATAGAGTAAAAAGGCATTTTAAGAATGCAACTTAAAGGGATATAACTGTAAAGGAATTCATATAACTTTAAATAACTTGATTTAAAAATGGACAGAGTATTTTCAAATGTCCAACAAGCTATATGAAAAGATGCCCAATATAATTAGTTATCAGTGAAATGCAAATCAAACCCACAATTTACCACCTTGCACCCATGAGGATGCCTATGATAAAATCAGAAAATGATAAGTGTTGGTGAAGACTTGGACAAAATACAGTTGGTGACAATATAAAAACCAGCAGCCACTATGCAAACAGTATGGGGGGGGAGGGTTTTCAAAAGGTTAAAATAGAATTACTATATGATCCAGCAAATTCCACTTCTGGATGATTACTCGAAAGAATTGAAGAGATATTTGAACACGCCCATGTTTCTAACAGCACTATTTGCAATAGGCAAGAGGTAGAAGCAACCCAAATGTCCACGAATGGATGGATAAACAAAATGTGTTATATACATAAAATGGAATATTATTCAGCTTTCTAAAGGAAGGAAACACTGTCATATATTATAACACAGATAAACCTTCAAGACATCATGCTAAGTAAAATAAACTGGTTTAACAAATACTTATATTGTATGAGTCCACTTACATGAGGTGTCTAACAGTCAAATTCATAGACACAGTAGAAATGTGGTTTCAAGGAGGTGGGTTAAGGAGTAAAATGGGAGTCAGTGGATGTAGGGTTTCAGTTTTGAAAGCTGAAAAACTTCTGGAAATCCATTTTGTAACAATTTAAATATACTCAACACTACTGAACATATATACTGTTAAAATTAAGATGGTAAATTTCATGTTTTATACTTTTTATCACAAAAAATTTTTTACTCTGATTTCCCAATTTTTAGTTTCTTCACCCAAAATGAAACTCCTCAATTTCTGAACTGTCTCTAAATTAGTGGAAATTTCATGAGATGGAAGGATAACAGTTGTATCCTTCCTCATACCCTCGTTCTTCTCTCAGTACTTTACAGCAACTTGACTGACAAGACTCAAGTGACACTTTTTCTTCAGTTAATCATAAATGGAAATAGATTTTCCCATTATGAAGCTTAAAATATTATCTCCCATTTTATTTTCTGTCTGAAAATCCTGAGAAGGCAGATGAGTTGTACAATCTACTTTAAGAGGTATTTTTTAAATATTATTTTAAAAGATATTTTTAAAATATTATTCCCGATATTCTCCCATTAGTGAACCTTTTATTTTGGCCTGATCTTTAATTCTATTTATCCACATTTTGTTTGGCAGGGTTTAGCATATAGTGTTGGTTTTGGTCATCCAAGTAAACTCAAATGTAATTATGAACATCATTAAAATACAACCAAATGTATAGCTTCCAAATAATCAGGTTCATACCTCCAAGAGCTTTAAACAGTTAGTGATTTCTTTCTTCAAATTGTCTTCTGCCAAGTCCCGGGATCGCTCTTCAAGCTTCACTCTTTTCTCTAATGTAAACCAGTCACATTTAAATCCCAAAGATAATCTGAGAAATTCCGCCTGTTGTCAAAATGACACGAGGGTGAAGAGAGAAAGTTTAATGTGGTCGAACATTTCAATTTTACACAGTATTATCCTGAGACATTTTTTTCTCATCCCAGCAGTAGAACACTGTCATGCATGGGCTGGACCTGTGCTTTGTCACTTTTAGGCCAAACAGACACCAGACATACCTGAGTGTGTGTGTGTTATGCTAAGTATAAAGCCAATGAAGCAGGTGAGTCTGAAATTTTTTTTAAAAAAAAGGAAAAAAATGGGTTTAAACTCACCTCCACTTCCTTCTCATTAGCAGACGTGCTGTAGGATAAGACAAAGGACTTGCTCAGAATATAATCCAACAGAAAAATAAAAAGTGAAATTAAAACATAAAGAAGAGCTTACTTTTCACTTTGTCTGAAGTTAACCGATTTCGCAGTAGTTACTGGAACAGGGGAAATCCCAGATTCTATCAAAAGAGAATAAATATTTGGTTAAGAGGGCTCAACACCTAAAAGTGCATTTTCATTAAATACTGTTATGTCCCATATTTACTAAATGAAGGCATTTCATTTAAATACATCTGAGATGATAGCCAGCTAATGTGTGTGCTTAAATTGTAAGATAATGTTTGCGAAGCCACTGGGATCAGAGCATTAAGATCACCGATTCACATCTCAAGCAGTCTTTGAAACCGGAAGATGTAACAGAGTCAAGAGATGGGCCCATCTGTCCTCTTTGCATTTGAATATTTGTTTTACTAGATCTCATGCTACATGCATACCTTCCTCTGGTATTCTGGTTCTTCCTTGGATTAAAACTTTAACAGCAGCACCGGCAGGAATAATAGTTATACTAATAGTAGTAGCAGTAACAGTAAATAATAATAATCCTGATAGTAACAGCAACAATAAACATAGCATCAAACTCAGGTTTACAATATGCAAGCCCCAGAACAAAGCTCTTTACATTTATTAGGATTTTCTTTATGACAACTTTGCAAAGGACAATATATCTAATAAAGAACATTAGATTTGAAACTGATAACACTTGATTTAAAGCTAAGCTTTGGCTCTTACAGATATGTGATCATGAATAAAACAACCTTATTAAATCATCTACAAAATAAGAATATTATTTTGATATAATAGATAAATTTTATGAGAACTGCTGTGCCAGGCCCTTTTCTGTGTGCTTCATACATATTAAATCAATCAATCAATCCTCACAGCAAGTCTTCTGTGGCAGACATTGTTTTCTGCTTTTCACAGGCTAGGAAAATGAACCATGGGGTACCTTACCTCATATTTGCAGGATTGACTAAAACTATGCACATAAGGAATTTAGCCTAGGACTTAGTATATTGTCAACTTTCTATAAACTATACTTACTTTTTAAATACATAATTACCATTTTGCAGATGAGAAACTGAGACTCAAAATTGAATAACTATCTAATACCACATAATGGTCAGAACTGGACCCAAACGGGAGCCTGAGTGACCTGACTGCCTGAACTCTGGCCACTGTTCCATCCTAGTGAAGGGAAGGAAGCATATTAGGTCTCATTTTTAAAACATTGTTTTTTGTTTTTTTTTTTACTTTTAGATGTGATGCTGAAAAAAACTAAGTAGAGCAGAGAATTACTACCAACATGCACGGGCTTGCTTCTTAGTTAACATTACAAGTCCTCTGGCATTGAACAGTCAATGAAATGTCAATGTGGCTTTTTGACAATGATACAAATGGAATCAGGACTGGGTTCTATTGGCTGACCTTATCCAGGGATGCAGAATTTGTAGGTGGCCTATCTTTACTCAGACTACAGCTATAAAAATAGCCACGGGGACAAAAGTAGATATGAGGTTGAAAGAACACATTTCTTACCTCCTGAAGCACATTCTTTTCTATGCTCTTCTATTGTTTTGGGTTCCTCCTTGGCTTCCTAAAATCATAAGGAAATTTTATTGTTGTACATAGAGTGGAAGTTCTTCATAACCAAGCGTTTCTTCACTTCCTGTCTTCTACTAACCCAACTCTGCAGTGCTCAGGGAATTGTAATAAGGGTTAAGGAAAAACAAAAACAAGTCTACTTCTAGAGGCCTTCTCAATCTAGTTGAGGCAAATAGAACATAAACATGAAAAGCTGTGAACATGACACAAGTTATCACAAAGCAAACTTGGATTAATTGCCAAGTAAATGAGGCTTAGGTAAGTCAGTATTCTGAATCGGAAGGAGGCAGAGCTGCATAGGACATCTGCAGGCCAGGAGTGTGACAGCAGCAACAGGAGAGGTAGAACTGGGATGGATGGATAGATGGATGGATGGATGGATGGATGGATGGATGGATGGATGAGAGATAAAGTAGAGGTGATCTAGAGCCATATAATGTGGCTTCCTATGTTGGTTTTTGAGAGAAATTGTGGCAAAGATAGCTGTTAAGATTGTGCCAGGTGTGGTGGTGCACACCTGTAATCCCAGCAGCTTGGGAGGCTGAAACAGGAGGATCACAAGTCCAAAGCCAGCCTCAGCAAAAGCGAGGTGCTAAGCAACTCAGTGAGACCCTGTCTCTAAATGAAACACAAAATAGGACTAGGGATGTGGCTCAGTGGTTGAGTGCCCCCGAGTTCAATCCCCAGTACCAAAAAAAAAAAAAAAAAAAAAGATTGTGTTGTGTGAGGTTTTAATTTCACATAATATATTTTTAGGTCACTGACCAACTGTTCTATACATAATAAATACACTTGTATACAAGGGTTACCATAACAACAGGATTGTACTGTACTGTCTGGGAAAATCTCATGGGAGAATTTAAGTATGCAATTATTTTTTATGGTATTATTAGACATTTTCAAAAGAATGGAGACATTTAGAAAACCAAAGTTCCCCATCAAAAAAATAAGTCTAATAAATTTCCTTGGTAGAGCCATTGATACCATGCCATATAATTTTTAGACAACTGAAATGAAGGTTTCAATAGACTACAACAAATAATACAGGTAAAGTGCTGGCTCACTGTCATCAACAGGTGAACACTTTTGAGTTTTTTGAGTCTTTTTCAATCCCATGACCTCTCCCAGTCACAGCCCTCCTGCAGCCCTCCTCAGCCTTGCTCCAGGAGACGCCTGACCATGGCTGAATCCAGTTTATCTTCCACTCATGATCAAATGCACTTTTTTTATTATTATTATTAGTTGTTCATGACAATACAATGATCTTGAAATATCATACATTTGAATCAAATGGTGTATAATTTCTCATTTTTCCAAGTGTACAGGTTGCAGAATCACATTGGTTATACGGCCACGTGTATACATACAGCACTTCTCCAGCTTATGCCCAACACTCCAGGGAAACTGCTCTCATCAGTGACCTCCTTAGTGCCAAATCCAATGACCATCCTCACTCTTAATCTCACTTGAACTCATTTAGCATATAAAACAAACAAACAAAAAAACGTCTTCTTGAAGATGTTTTTCCCTCTCCTGAGGGTCGTCTCCCTCCCTTCCCAGTCTCTTGGCTGTTGCCTTCTCTCCTGAGTGCTCCCTTCCTGCCCGCCCGAGTCATTGGAAAATCTCGTCCACATATTTGCAGAGTTCTTTGCTGATAACTCATGAACGTGTTTCTGTTTCTAAAAGTCACATGAGTGAGATTATGAACATAGGTGCATAGTTATGTATAAAATCTCCTTAGAGACTACAGATGTCTCATATCAATCCAAAACTTACTTCAAAATGATCTTATTTAACCTCACAAATTCAGTTCTTCCTTTTCCCATCCTCTCACGTTATTCTACTCATTCTTGTAGGTTAATCCATAAAACCTGGGTACCTCTTTTCCCACATCCCTGATGGAAGTCACTACTGCTGAGAATTTCCACCTCTAAATAAATCTCAAATTCATCCCCTTTTCTCCATCTTCACCAAGTTTAAACGACCTCCATCTCTTATCTGATTTATTACAACTGCATTATAGTCAGTCCTACTACCACAATTACTACATTTTCCTAATAGATTATTTCTTAAAGTGTAATTTTTTTTTTTTGAGATGGGAAGGATTTTTTTTCCTCAGAACACTCTACTAGGGATAACTAACGAAGTTACAGGGGGAATGATTTTCAGCATATGAGCTAGCCAGCGCTACACCCTATGTATACTTCATACCAGTCAAAGGATAGTTTCGGATCACATACCTCACCGTCCCACTTCCTGTATACTGGGAGGCCATAACATTTTATTCTACCTTATTTATTACCCATATGCACCCATATCAGAGACTCCTCTTCACTTGATTAGTTTGCATGAATCTGTTTCTTGCAAACAAATGGACCTCAATGCAACAATGCTTATATACTGAGAGGAAGACTGCAACAAAACACACACACACACACACACACACACACACACACAAACTCCACACATACAATAGTGGGACTAATACATAAGTAAGACCCCTGGAGAATCATGAAGTTGGATCCATAGCCTACAAGTTACCCTTCAATTATTAATTCATATAAGTAGAAATAAGACATCCTTCCCAAAAGGAATTAACATTTTTTTCTATAAACATTTATAGCTATCCTTATGTCTTAGAGAGCTTCAAGAGTGACTATATTTAAGATGGCTAATTCGATTAACCTCATAATTTTCAAAGAATAAATGGGGAACACTTCTAAGAGTCCTTTGCAAATTAAAGAGGCAGCTCTACCACAGTAACATCCATTTTATTGTTCACATGTGCGTACTTCCTTACCAGATTTGATATGGCTTTATCCTTACTCATAGTGTCTTGGCATACAATGTTCTCAGGATCTGGACTGGTGCCTATGAGAAAAAGGAAATACAGTCAACAGTTGGGGATGCAGTAACAAGTAAAAGAGGAAGAAATTGTGAGGGTAGCAATGTGGACAGACCAGGGAAGACAAGAGCCTTAGCATGTGAGACAAACGTAGGTACTGCAAAATGCACAAAGGCGCATGACTCAGAGTCAGGGATGGAGGAGGCTCATGGGGAAGTTGAACCACATAAAACTGCCCAATCAAAGGAACATCTCCATGAATGCCCTTTCAAAGTAGGCTGGTTTTTCTTTAATCTTTTTTTTTTTTTTGGTTGTTGATTTATCTTATTCATTTATTTACATGTGCCGAGAATAGAACCCAGTGCTCCACACGTTAGGCAAGTGTTCTACCACTGAGCCCGAGCCTCAGACCCAGCCCATAACTAAGCTTTTTAATAGTGTGGCAAACAGTTTTTTTTAAAATTTACATATGCAAAGCTGATAACCATGTGATATCCTACTAACATGAACCTTTCTGAATATGACATCAAAAGAAAAGGTACACTTTAAATTTGTATCATGCCTTTTTGTAACTTCCACATTTTTTGTGGCCGTCTATACTGTCATTGCTGTAGGTGATTATTCTCCTCTTCACAGGATCCTTTGTCCTGCATTTAGTTTAATGCAGACACAGAAGTGAGCAGCGAGACACAGTTTCCTTTCTTTCTTTTTAAGAAAAATATATTTAAAGCAGGTGTTGTATTTTAAAATTTTATATGCAAATGAAAACAAAATGATCACCAGATTCCTTAGAGATGCACATTTCTCCCCAGAGATTTGTTTTAGTTTTCCTTAAATTTTAAGACAGAGAGTAAGTTCTTATGGCCCATAAGTAAAAACAATGTTTTACAGTAAAAAATTTCATCAATACCTGCCAGAAACCTGATGTTCTTGCCTGTAGAACATGATATTAATTTTTGTCTAGCCTTCCAGAAATACTTTTTGCAGACATAAAAACTGGTGTTTTTTTTTTCAAATTTTACATATGATACATATTTTCTATACTTTTCTCAAGGTACATAGTCCTTTCATAGTATTACATGAAAAATTCTCATCATACATGTTTTATGTATGCATATTAAAATTCCATTACATAGATATGCCATAATATGGACTTCTGTTAATAGTTAACTTGTTGCCAAAATTTTATTAGGAACAATGTTTGATCAAAGAAGCTTACATATGTCATTTTGTATGTGCGTGAATGTATTTATAGGCTAAATTCCCAGAAACTGAATTGTTGCATCAGTGTTGCATTTTGATAGATATTGTAGCCATTTTTGTTGCAAAAGTTTACATTTCCTACAGCACTATATAGGAATTCCTTTTTCCTTTTACAACCTTACCAACAGAATATAATCAATTTTTTGCATATTTGTCTATTTGACAGGTAAAGAATGGTATCTTGGTGCAGTTTTGATTAAAACATTTCCTTACTAAGTATAAGTTGTATTCTTAACACACGAAACAGATTCCTTCCATTTCTGAAATTTTATAACTACTCTAACTTAGGACTTGCACCTCAAATTTAAATGTTGAGTTCAAAGAACAGAATGGATTTTCCTTGACTTTTTTCTTTTTATAGTAAGAATGGGAACCTACATCTCCCTTGGGGGTCAACTGTAGTGATGTCTCTGAAAATGATTAAAAACTATTTGTTTTCAGAGTATAGAAGCAGGAAGGATCTAAAATCATTTAGCTCTTTTGCCTCCTGAGTTTACCACTACTAATTGGTCCATCCTTCTGAGCTGATAGACTAATTCAAATTCTAAAAATTTTCTAAGTGATGTCACATCTGTGTCATATTTGAAACCCAGCAGTGTCCAGTCAGTCTATCAGAAGGAAATATTCAAGCCCCAACACAATATATTGGTTTTGTTCTATCTACAAAATTGAGTGAAAAAATGTCTTCAAAATTCCTTTATAGGAATTATTTTGTAAGAATTAATATAATATTGCCGAGCTATTAAGGACAGTGACTTCACTAGCTTACAGGTTTGCCTTGTATATTAGAATGAAGCTACTCTTTTTTCAAAATATATTTTTTACTTGTAGATGAACACAATGCCTTTGTTCTGTTTATTTTTTATTTTGTGGTGCTAAGGATTGAACCCAGTGCCCCACACATGCTAGGTGAGCACTGCACCACTGAGCCACAACCCCAGTCCTAGAATGAAGCTACAATTGAACCCAGCTTACCTTGGATCTCTGTCACGGAAGACACTGGTCTTGTTGCCTCCTCTTTCTCACAGAGTGATTTACAGTCAAGGCCACCAGAAGCCATATTCAAAACGTCTGATCCAGAATCTACCAATAGGAAGAAACTAACAGTGTGACTCCTATGCAAAGGAGAATTTGCCTATGCTCTTCTCATTTGCTCACATTTCAGCAGGTTTCAGAACATAAAATTATAATCCTTTTTTGTTTGTTTGTTTCAGTGTCTCTTCCAAATCCACTCACCACTTGAAGTTACAGTACTCTCTGAGGAGGAAATGTGTCCAGGCGACGGTAGTGTGAGATATTCCCTAATAAAAGGGTAGAAAAATATTTCAGTACATCAGATTCAAATAATTCTCTTTTAAATGAGCAGAATACACACATAAATTCACACACCCAACACCAAAAGCAAACCTGGACTGTGGCAGGTCCTCAGAACCCAAGTGTTCAACACCATTCTCCTGGAGGGAGAAAACACAGAGACACAGTTCAATGATTCAACAGTTGCCATTTCAAAAAGTATAATACTAAATTTTTTCCCCTGATTTAAAGTATATTTATGCATCTGATATTTAGGAAAATTTAAACAAATCTGGGGGCAAACAAACTTTAAATTCAAAAGCAGATAGAGTTTATTTAATGAACTTAAATTTTCTTTAAACAGAACATTCTATATGAGCATATAAAACATTTCTATTTATGGGACTATTACTCAAGTTAAAACTCTTGGCCAGGTGATAGGAATAGTTCCAATGTTTCCAGCTAGATAAACCATACATTTTAAGTTTAATCATATCTCAAAGATCTGAGGGATTATATCTTAGACAACACCAGTTACCTGGCATTTTAAAAGAGCTTAACAGAACTGTGGTCCCATCCTGCCATAGCAATTTTTTGCAAGTCTCATTTGAACCTCTAAATTCTATCAAGAATTCCCAAATTGGAGGGCATTTTAGGACATTAGGGTTTGTTAGTATATTTGTTCTGTTTCAAAAAGATATATGGTGGCAACATGGCTTTCTTTTTAATAGTGAGGTTATTTAAATTTACTTTCATTTTTATGTATTTAGAAAGCTTATCATAAATCAAAACTGATATAATTTAGGCATATCAGAAACTTGTACAGGTGATGGAAAAATGAAGATACACATGCATTTCATAATCAAACATAGAACTCATTAACTACCACAACCAACAGCAGATTTCTAGAGAGATATGCTGCATATCATATTCGGTATTTAGAATCTATTCATAAACATATTTACCATAACCACAGAAAGGTAAAGATTTAGAAAGGGCTTGCTGAATTTGTAGTTTCCCAGTATAATAAATAGCAGCCTACACCTGTTGAGCACATTAAAGTTTACAAAAGTCCACTTTTTATATCATCTTATCTAATTCTCCCAAAAACTATATGCAACAAGTTTTTGCATGTAAGGAAATCAATACCAGTGGTTAAAGCAATTTCTCAAGAATATCAGAATGGTAGAGCCAATCGTCAAACTCAGATCGAACTAAATGCAGTGTTCTCTCCATTGTAAATAAACCATTCCAAGCATACACTAACCTAACAATTTCCAACTATTGTCTTAGACTTGTAAATGATTTAAATATAAACTTTTAAAGTGTTCACCTTAAATGCTTAGAAAAATTTACAAACTTAAAACAAGAATTTATATCTTAATGACATTCAATCTTTTGTTTTATTTAGTTCCATTACTGTTTTTTTAACTCTAAAAAATTTTATTCATAAATATGTTTAAGATGCACAATGTGATGTTTTGATACAGGTATACATTGTGGAATAATTAAATCAGGCTGATTAGCATATTTGTCAACTCTTTGGTTCAGATCATATATTACCAAAGCCCCTATGACATCAGTTTAATTTAATTTCATGAACTTTCATCAAAGATCCAGTATGTTGTGATATAAGTAAGAAATACTTAATTAATAAATAATTTTTTTAAAAAACATCCAGTGTGTACCAGGAGCAGAGACAAGGCCCAGAGACACATGGAAATATAGGCCTTTTCCTGAAGGGGCTCATAGGTCAGTTAAGGAGATGAATCTATAAACAAATACCTTATAACTGATAAGCAGTACTTCACAGAGGAAGGCCATATGCAAAGAACAGAATTCATAAAGTGGAGTGATATTGGAATTAAATTTTGAAGAGAAATTGTATCTTATAACCTGTAGGTAGGAAACGGCCTTGTCTTTATATTTTTAAAATTCATTATAGGAGTAATTATTATATGCTTATTTACCTAAACTTCAATATATCTGAAATGAAGCTATAAAAACTAGATAAAATTAAATATCTTTAAGTTTCATTTGGTATTGAACTTCATAAAAAATCAATTGCATTTCTTAATAAAAAATCAAGTCCATTGAACATTCCACAAAATATAAAACATGGTTACTGTGTATGGACTGAAATACTATTATTACACTATAACTAAAAGCTATCAGAAAAGATTTCATCTTGTACTTATCAGGTTCATGGATAGTCATATTTGAACTTAAGAAGTGGGAAAGAGAATTCAGTTATCATTGTCATTTCACTAAGCTGGTTTCCAAAATAGAGGAAAGTGAAGCATAATTTTTTGTAAAACTTTTATGAAATGAGCTTAATATTATCCTATTTAAGGTCAAAACAATAACTATAGCAAAAACCTAGTGGGCCTCCATTATGTTACAAGTGAGTCTCCTTTGCCATCATGCCCTTCTTATGGCCTCTTTTTTCTATATCTTACAATGAAGCATTTTATGGAGAAGAGGTTTGATAAATGTGAAATACTTACTGACTAAACAAATAATAGTATGATTCTGAAGACACCTCATACATATATCTCTTCATTTCCCTGGAGTAGTTACAAGGTAAGCAGGTGGATATTACTCCCAAATCATGAAACTTTGTAAGTCTTAGTGATCAGAAAACAACCCCACAGACAACATATTTAATTCTAACTTCATAAATTTGTTCTAACAACACTATTTTCTTCTTACAAGAATAACCAGAGAAAAGGAAGTTTCAAATTTTGTTTCAAACTTAGGATCTAGTTAGTGAAAGTTGTAGATATAATACTCAAAGTTTCTTGCTTGGGGTTAGGCTAATCAACAAAAACTTTCCACAGTGGGATCTCTTCTTCTAGCATCAAAAGTTACCCTCTTCAAACCAGCATCCCAACCAAGCCTGCTGAAGAATCTATTCACACACACCAACTTTGAGACCTGAAGAGATTGAAAGAGATAGTCTGTAAAACCACAGAAATCCAAGAAATTGATGAAGACAGCTCAGATGAGAGACTTACATGTGGAAGGTTGGCTCAAGTCAATGAATCTAACACAGGCTGACAGCACAGCAGGAAGAATGCCCTTCCCATCCAAGCCATTCAAATATTAACCTGAATAACATTTACATGGAAACCCACGGTCCAGCCCATCTGCTCTTGACAACAAGAGCTTAATATAGGGTGGGGTAGCCAAGCACTCATGGAACAAAGTGAGATAGATTCTCCCATGGGCTGGGTCAGCAAACACAAGCCTCTTTCATTCATACACACACATTTGCATACACATACACACACACACACACACACACACACACGATTACTTTAATAGAAAAATACAAAGAAATACTAAGAAATAAGAGATTTATGATAACAATTAATAAGCCTAGATAATCTTCAAGGACTACTACATTAAATGCTGCTTTATAGATTTTATGATCAGAAATCTTTGTGCTAATAAAAATTTATGTTACCCATATAATTTTTACTATTGGGTCTCTTTGGACAGTTGATGCTGGTCAAATAGATTAACATGGGAACAACAACAACAAAAAAATGAAACAAGAATCTATTTAGACTTACTCCAAACTGTACTTATGTACATTTAAATGTTCTGAAAAGAGGAAGAATATTAAATAGAACTTTAAAATATTAGAACCCCTGAGGCTGAGGTTGTGGCTCAGTGGTAGAGTGCTTGCCCAGCATGTGTGAGGCACTGGGTTCAATTCTCAGCACCACATAAAAATTAATAAATAAATAAAGGTCCATCAACAACTAAAAATTTGAAAAAATAATAAAAATAAAAATAAATTATTAGAAACCCTGGAACATAAACAAAACTAAATTTCCTCATAGTTTTTTTTTCTTTTTTTTTTTCCTCGCAATTTCTAAGTAAAAGAACACCACACCCTAAGATCTACAGGACACACCTACCATAGTGAGGCTCATTTATAATCAGTTATCAGTCAATATCTCCCGTCCCAATTTTGCAACTGGCAATGGTATTTATTCTCCAAGGTTATTAATGCAGCACCTACACATAGCTTGAAAGAACAGGACAACGGCCAGAAAGTCTTCAGAGGTTATTTTTAAATTGATCCTGTGGTTTGACTCAATAAATCATCTTCTCCCAGTGATAGTGTATCTTACACAAAAACATGCAATGACATGAAGAGGAACCTTAAAAGGAGGGAAGACACTTGATCTTTTTTTTAAAAGAAGATCCTTGAACAGCCACAAGGAAACAGAGAAATTCATCTCGAGATCCCTGACCTGTTATAAGGCATCCTCTGATTATCAGCAGTTCCACACTGCTGATAATTCTCACTCTAGGTAATACTACCGTTACTGTTTTGAGTATGTACTATGAAGCAGGATTTCACAAAATATTTTGGTGGAGGCAGATCAGACAGAAGAATCAGTTTTGATGCCATAGAATTTTTGTAGAACTTAATTCTTAGAGTATTTAGTGAAACATACAAGTAGGTAACTACCTGTTTTGCAAAGGGCCAGAAAGCCTTTGGTAGCTCTTCAGACATAAAGATAAGAGCAACCACTAAGAGAAGGTAGACAGGCTAAGGACCTAAAGGGAAATGACCCAGAGTGGGGAAGAATCAAGGAAGTGTATCTAGCTACTAAAAGAAGCAGTAACACTAGACTCAGTAGGAAACTATGGTACTGGCCACCTTGTATCCCAGCCCTGCTAGACTGTGTCTTGAAATGTAGAGGATAGTTTTCACAACTACCTCAATAGGATCCTACCAACACTACACCACCCTGGGAGCCCTCTCTGAAAGCACTGGAACAAGAAGGCAGAGTTGCCTCTGCACTGACCAAGGAAAGAAGGTGGGATCACCAGAGGTCCAGATGCAGAGCTCCATGGAGGTCTACAGTGGTGCAGGCAGGGCTCTGGGCAGAGAACAAAAAGGGCAGCAGACACCAAGATGATGAGACCAACTTCACTGTCCCACAACTTCTCAAGAAGCTAAACATCCACCTGGAACCCACTAGTGGATGAGGCCCAAAGAACATGAATATATACTAGAATACACCTCTGGTGATTCTTAGAAATGTTTGAATGCTGGGAAGGCACCCAGTGAAAAGGAAAGGCTTTCCTATTTATCAGCAAGTGGGAAAATAGGTCATTAAAAGGCACTATCTTCCTGTAAACATGACCTACTTGGTTTGTTTCCAACTGATTAGGCTAAAACTTGGCTGTGAAGATGCATATGTGTTGATATATATATAGCATGTGTTTATGCATGTATGTGTGTTGTATCCATGTGTACTGAACTACTCAAAAGCAAAGTAATCTCTCTGTTCCACAGGGGACACAGCAATTTCAGACAGGTTAGGCCACTTATCTAAGTTCACATATTAAGTATTGCAGCCCATCTTAAATATGGCCTGCCTGATTCCAAAGCCTATACTATGGGGAGAAAATTTGCAAGGCATTACTAAAATAAATTTCAAATACAAAAGTAGACAGTAGAACTAACTTTTATATGCTTGGGATGTGGCTTCAACAATTATCACCTGGAATGGATGTTGTTTCATCCATTCTTTTACCCTCTAAACCTAACCTATGTTTTTAGAAGCAATCCTAGATATCATCACATGTCATCTGAAAGTATTTAAGTATGAATCCTAAAAGATGAAGACAGTAAGTAATTTATTTCCTTCTCTCCTAGGTACACCAACATGCCACCAATAAAATAATTTACTGGGTCAATAAAGAAGATTCATTCTCCTTAAGAACATTCCAAACAGGTCTCCAAATTATTTTCCTATGAGATATTCTTTTTTGAGACATTAATCTTGATAGAGTCCTTTGCTCAAAGACCATCTCATAAATACCAATCAATGTTCACTTTTTCTTATATTCCCTGTGAGAAAGATGCTATATTTATTTTCTGCCCTCCCCAATTCATGGAGAAAATGAATGGGCGGGGGGGGGGGGCAGAAAATAAATCTCAAGTCCTTAGGAACACCAGTCCAAAGAAAGAAGCTTCCGAGTATCATCCTCAGTGTTCTAAGTAGAACCTGAAGTGATTGCAAAACAAATAAGAATTCAACAAATATTAATGGGTGGCTACTGTGCACCCATCCATGCACAGAGTACTAGAAACATTTTGGCTAGTGATCAGGTAAGGGCATTCTCCACCAGGCTTATAAGCTAACACAGGATAGGATGTAAAAAATGAATACCCACAATGCAACCAGGAGACAGGTAGCAAAAAGGGAAGGCAGAGAGTTCCTGGGGTCTCAAAGAAGGAAGTTAAATAGTTAAGGAATGAGGAAGCTGAAGCATCAAAACATGATATTTCCAGAACCACATACAAGCTGATTGGGGGGAAAACCTGATTTCTCAAACTCCAATCTATTATGATTTTCACCTCAAAAAGAACTGGAAGACACTGGGTTTGATTCTGAGTACCGCATATAAATAAAATAAAAGTCCATTGACAACTAAAAAAAAATATATTAAAAAAAAAGAACTGGAGATACTTGACTGCCAACATTTTATACTACCATAAAAGGATTTATGAAACAGTAGATTTTTTAAATGGACCTTGATAGTTAAATAAAATTTTGACACATGGAGAAGTGTACAACATTCTGAGCAAAGAAAACACCCCAAGCAGGTTTGGAGTGATTTATTCTGACAGTAGATACTACCTGTTTGGCTGATATAAGGACAATAGCAGGACAGTGCCATGGAAATGAAGGCAGAAAGCTAGGCTGTGACCAGGCCAAAGAAGGATTTGAATACTAGGTCAAGCTTCTTTCATGAGGATGTAGAGACTGGCAAAGATCATCATTTAAAGCCAAGGTATTTAAAACAACAACAACAACAAGCCATCAGTTTGTATATGCTGGAATGAGCATGGTTTATGGTATTTTGATGTTTTATATTATTCTAATTCCCTCTACATTCTATTAAAAATGCTTGGAAACAAAGCTTATTATTTGTTTAGAGATGGGGTGGGGGCTGAAGGAGACCAGTGAGAGTTGGAGAGCACAGTCATGAGGCTGCACAGATCCTGCAGGGGGCAGAAACCTGGAATGGGACTATGGAGAATCAGTGGTTTCAGCCACAAAGTAAAGCCAACAGACTCATTCTTGAGACTATAGAAAGAACACAGGAAAGCAAGAACTTTCAGGGAATCTAGTTATCACCCTGAGTGCATTTGACAGGAGTTTCTTTGTGATCCAGATCTTTCCTAATTGTTAATGGGTGTCAAGACCATACACAAAACAACTTCATCACCTCTCCCAATGAGTGGATTAGGAGGTCCTTTTAGATTCATAAGGCAGCACATTTCTTAGCCAAAAAACCAAAACAAATAAACAAAAAACCCACTTTCAAGGTAACTATAGTGATTATTATGTCTCAAATGTCTAAATCAGAGGGGTTGTGAAAAGGACAAGTCCTTTTGAAGCTAGACAAACCTGAACTTGAAATCTAGGTTTGCTGCTTATTAGTCAAGTGATGTTGGGCAAGTTAGATAACTCCCTCAAAGTCAGGTGTCTCCTTTGTAAAAAAACAGAGAATACCTGCCACTCAAGGTTGTGAGGAGCATTAATAATATGGCACACAGAAATGCTTTCCTACAAAGTGCCCGGTACACAACTGATGTTTGTTTCTTCTCCCTTCTTAGTGAAATTGGTGCCAGATAAAAGGGAAATTACTAATAACTGAACATCCTGTAAGCTCCTAAACTCAACTTCCGTTATTAAAGCTTCATAAGAACTACCAAGTAATAGCAAAATAGATTTGTTTTCTTCTTAGTTGCTCAATAAGGCAGGTACTAATGAACAGGGGGAAAATGTCAGATGCATACACTTCAAAGGAGTAAGAATGACTCGCACAACTTAGTGGTAAAAATCTTTTAAATGGGCACGGGATCTGAATGGAAGTGTCTCCAAAATATACAAATGACCAACAAACACATGCAAACATGCTGGACATCATTAATCACTAGAAAAATACAAACCAAATCCATTGAGATACCTCTTTGCATTCAGTGATGGCTGTAAACAAAAAGGGAGTTTTGGTGAAGTGCAGAGAAATTAGAATCTGCCAGATATCACTTGTGGGAATATAAAATGGTGCCACCACTGTGGAAACCCATCCTTTAGACCCTCAAAATATTAAACAGAGTGACCATCTGAGGCAGTAATTTCTACTGATAGAAATATACCAAAATAATTAAAAACCTACATTTACACTAAAACTTATACACTAATGTTCATCATGACATTGTTTGCAGCAGCCAGTCAAAAAACTCAAATGCCCATAAACTGTTAGTTAAACAAAATGGGATATCCAACATAATATTATTCCACCATAAATGGAAGTACTAATAATAAAATACATACTACAATATGGATGAACCTTGAAAACGATAATTAAAAGAAGACAGGCACAGGAGGGTGTATATATATGGTTTTATTCAACTTAAGATATCTAGAATAGGCAAATCTATGGAGAATGTAGATTAATGCCTAGAGCTGAGTGTTTAGAGGAAGGGGAAATTGCAAAAGGGTATTGGGGTTTCTCTTGGAGGTGATTCCAATGTTTTAAAATAGGTGATGGTGATAGTTAAAACCAGTTCATTGAACAGTTTAAATTAATGAATTATATGATGTGTGAATTATATATATATATATATAATTATATATATATATGTGTGTGTGTGTGTGTGTGTGTGTGTGCACGCGCGCGCACACGTGATGAATGGCCAGATCCTAAAGATGAACTGTCTGCTCCATTTGACTGAACTCACTGGGCCCACGCTCAGGCTACAGACTAGGAAGGAACTCTGACCACCTCCATAGTCCTTCTCAAGTTGTTTCACGTTATCCTCTTCTTGGGTAAAAAAGCAGCATTACTGCCTGACATTGGTTGTGAATATGCTAAGATCATGGCCTTACTCTGTGGTCTTTAATAAAGGGCCAATTCCTCAAAGATTGCCTAGCTTTGATTTCAGTTCTTAGAGAATCAATGTGATCTGATACTACTTACAGTCAATAGTGAGTTTAAGTCCCAAACCAGCCTGCCTCCTAAACACAAATTTCATTGTACTTTGTCAAAATCTCCCTCTGGTTATATAACCCAAATTTCATACTACATGGGGCGTAGAAATCCCCAAATACTGAGCTTTATTTTTTTTTAAATATTTTTTAGTTGTTGATGGACACAATATCTTTATTTATTTATTTTCATGTGGTGCTGAGGATCAAACCCAGTCCTCACACGTGCAAGGCATGCGCTCTACCACTGAGCTACAGCCCCAGTCCCTGAGCTTTAATTTTATCACTTCAGAAGTTGATATTTCTAATTCATCTGTGGTCTGTATTATCAGATTCATACTTGCTGTACTAGGAGCCATGACATTTTTAAAAGAAAAGAAGCAAAGGAAAGAAGAAAGAATACTCAAAGAACAGGACCAGCATGGGACAATACTGAAGATGAAATTGTAAACTGCCACAGCACTCACTTCCATACTTAGGTTGTCATTCATCTCGATGTAACCCGAAAGATCTGCTCCTGGGTCTGGACCACCTACAGGACACCTGGCAGTAGAAAGTAGAGCCATTTACTACAAGTAGAAAAACTGAAAATTTTAGCAGATACCAAAATATGACACAGTTCCCACGACCCCACACCCAGTCTATCAAATTTCTAATTAAATTCCTGGCTTCATTAAGACATAATGAAAGATAGCTTCCACCTTCATCAGAGAGAAGTTACAGACAACAGAAAAGCCAGCCAAAAATGAAAATAAAGAATTTGCAATTCAAAGTCTGGCTTCCTCACCCTCAATACAGAAAGGAAATTTCACCAGGGTAGAGAGTCTTTACAAACTCCACTAACATGTCTGCATTTTTCCTAAAGAAGATCAGTTTGCATACTTAAAAAGATAGATGAGCATAAATAAGCATCAAAAGAGAATGGGGGGAGGGGCGAGCAGAGACAGGTTTCCAAAGGCTTGTTAACCTTAAGTGTGAAAGGAATAGAATTAAAATCCAAACTCATCTAAATTAACCTAGTAATATGTACTTAGTATATATCTCCCCAAACTAGGGTAACTGAATTGGTCTCTTAAGATTTTAGAATGACTATCATAAAATTCAAAAGTAGTGTCTTTATTTTACAACTGTAAATTTTCAGAAAGTTAGAGAGTTCCACAATAAAGATGTTATAATCTCAGGGTATGAAAATCTAACCAATTAAAATGTTAGGCAGTGGGAATAGGCTACCCATAAAGAGTAGGCTAAGTGAAGCAGCAAGTCCTTCCTGAGATGTTTCTTTTTCCTGTTAGTAGCTGCAACCTGCTAGTTTTTGCTTCTGCAGTCATGCTTGCTCAGCAGCTGTGGCAGGAATCAAATCTGCCTGGAGAGAGGAAAAGGGACCCAGGCTACTTATATGAGAAGTCTTGAAACCTGGAGGTCTGTGTACTGAGAACAAAGGGCTGTGCTCAGCCTTTGGAGAAGACTCTGCTGAGCCCACATCAGTGCTGAATAAACCTTGCTCTTCTGAATCTCCTACTGCTGCCTGTCTCTTTCCATTGCCATAATTTTCCTTATTTTTCCATAACAAAGTAAATTGTCCTCTTTTAACTTACTTGTGTTGTCTCTTCACATCCAAAGCACCATCCTTTATTTCTCCATATTTGGATCTTTCACTTGAAGCCTCAGTTGGGTTGGCTACACATAAGGAAGATGTCAGTTGTGGCCTTGGAATCACTGTAAGACTATCCAGAGACAAGGCATCTGTAGTAGAACAGAAAGGAATAAAAATAGAGATTAACTTCTGGTTCATACCACATTAAAGAATAAACTTATCCTCCCTAAAGACTTGATTGGCAGAACTATTTATGTGAAAGCAAAAGCCAACCCAATTCTATTAGCACTTTAACAAATGCCCAAGATGCTGGGTTACATGGGGGTGGAAATGCCAAATGTTTATTTAAAAAAAGAGAGGAAAAAAAAAGGTGAGGCATGGAAGACAGATGATCTTGGTCTCCTAAACAACTAGAGGGCCAATATTCTTCAGCCAGCAGGCAAAAATCCAGCCAGCTGCCTGTTTTTAAAAAAAAAAAAAATATATATATATATATATATATATATATATATTAGTTATTAATGGACCTTTATTTTATTTATTTATATGTGGTGCTGAGAAATGAACCCAGTGCCTTCACATGCTAGGCAGGTACTCTACCACTGAGCCACCACCCTAGCCCCAGCTGCCTGTTTTTGTAAATAAAGTTTTACTAGAATATAGCCACACCTATCCACATACATCTCCATGACTGCTTGTGTGCTACAAGAGTAAAGTTGAATAGTTGTAACAGAAATTGTACGGCCTGAAAGTCCTAAAATATTTATTATCTGACCCTTTCCTGAACAACTTTGCAGACTTCTGAAAAATATCAGACATTGTGATTAGATTTCATCAAAACATAGTACAAGAAATAGGTAAGAATGACACACCAGTCTTTTGGGGAAACCATCTTTTTAGGTGGGTATTGGATGCAGCAGTTTAAAGGAAAACACAAAGGCTATGGAGTCAAGCACAATTTTTAGTTCTGATCCTGGATCTGCTAAATGCCAGTTGTGTCACCTTGGGTAAATATCTATGTCACTCTGAGGCTTAGTTTATGTATCTATAGAATGATACTTGGCCTTGAGTATCTGTTTCCTGGTCTTTAAAATTGGGAATTACAGAGGGGTGGGTACAGTAGTAGAGTGCTGGCCTAGTATGCACCAGGACCTGGATTCCTCCCCAGCACAGCAAAAATGGGAATCACATTAGCATCTGCACTCTTAGGCTGTGGTGAGGACTAAATGAGTTTACAGATATGTTACCCACAGCAAGTATTCTTTAAGTGCTGACTTATTGTTGGGTGTGGTTATCTCTGAGTTATCATAAATGAAATAATCTCTATAAAATTCTAGTGCCTGACACAAAATGAAAATTCCATCCGTGGTGGTAGCAGTTTCTCCTTTTGTAGTTCAATGATCCACAAACCACCATCTTTCTTAAATTTATTTGATGAGCATCCCATTTTTATTATCATTCCAGAACCAGCATGAACTTCTGCTTTTGACTGCATCTGGGTTTTGTAGAGCATCTCCGAGGTTAGGGCTCTTTCTCCTCGGCCTGGCAATCAGTAACAGTTCACAACTGGATCCTCAACTTGCTTTTGCTTCAAACTTCCTTCTGCATCTCAACCAAAACCCTCTTGTTTCCACAATGAGCTTTGCCTCTTCTTCAAACACAAGGCTTTTTGTGTTCTTCTCTTTTTATTCTGTTTCATTTGTCCATGTCATTCTCATCCATCAAAATACTTTTTTCACACTTTTCACCAAACTCAACCCATCCCTCAAAGCCTGGTTCAACACTCCCCTCTTCTGTGGGGTACTCTCTTACTTCTCATCTCTCAGTCTAGGTCCTGTCTCCCACTAATCTGTAGGCTATTTGAGGACTGGGAATGGAACTCAGGGGCACTTAACTACAGAGCCACATCCCCATTCCCTTTTTGTATTTTATTAGAGACAGGGTCTTATGGAGTTGCTTAGGCCTTGCTAAGTTGCTGAGTTTGAATTTGAATTTGTGATACTCCTGCCTCAGCCTCCCAAGCTACTGGGTTTATAGGCATGAGACATCAAACCCAGCACTTATTCTTTATTATACATAATATGTTGCCTTGCACAGAATAGGTACTCAAATACATACTGATTGACTGACTGAACCCAGAAATAAATACCCAAATATTCAACAATTCTTCCTGTACAAATAAAATTGTAATGAATTATTTGCCCTTTCAAAAAGAATTCCTCTCTCAATACAATTCCTCCCCCCACCCAAGCATGTCTCAGCTGGTGCTGGAGGAGGGGCGACCCAAGCTCACCCAGAAGAGGCGTATACCAGCATGTGTTTTTCAAGGTCAGGGGTATGTGATGAATTCTTGCCTCTTGACTACTGTGTGGTTTGTGGTAACACTGCTTCTGAATGGAAAACCAAGTATTATTAGCTGTCTAACGGAATATAACATAAAACATTTTCTAATATACTTTATCTTCCAAAGCAGAAAGAATATCACTGGTCTTAAATGGTCCTGTGAGAGAAGTCAGAAAGAAAATAAATGATGTCAAGTGAAAAAGCTTTCATGCTTTTTGATCAAAAGATATACATTATGAGTAAATTAGAACACTCATTCAAAAATCACAGTTCAGTGATCTAACATAATACTCGCATCACCAACTCCAAATAATTAATTTACACTTTGATATAAATAAAGCCTCTGAGGGAAAAGTTAAGCATGAGAGACAAGCCAAGTAACTCCTTGTAATACCACAGTCAAAAAATTTAAAATATTAGTACTTCTTGGACCAACCAAAAGATACCATGTGTATGAGAGGGAAAAAAATATATTTTAAAGAAAAGTATTGTGTTTGGAATCCTTGGGCTATGCATATATACTGAACTCAATTTTTTATTTTACCATAGCAGCTGATCCATGTTTGCTACCTAAATAAGTTCAGAAAGCTTAAGCTTACCAATTTTTCTTGAAGAGATGGTTGAATTTTCTCTGGGCAGGACGGGGGATCATCGTGAGAAAATTCCTCATCTAAAAACCTCTGTAATCAGAAAATGGCAAAGTGTATTGAAAGATGAAATGTAGAAAGGGTCCAAGATGCAAAGCCCAGCAGAGGTGGGTGCCCTCTACTTCAGGGAACCTATTTGTCACGGCAAATGGGTATTTTACCCATTCATTGATCTAGGAGTAAAACTCAAAGATCAGGAACCAGGAATTGAATGGCTTTGTCACTGAAATTAGGCAGAAGCCTAGGAAGCTTTTTAGACATAACTTGGAGTAGTAAAATGGTGTTAGGAAAATTTGATAGTAATAAAATTGTGGTCTTAATCCAAGAGGCAGATGCATATTTATGGGAGTGACATTACAATAGAAAATTTTATTGGTGTTCTTGAGATGATTAAGAATTCTTTAGATATGGAGATTTTTTTTTCCTGCTGAACAGGGGCTTTTTAGGCACTCTGCCTAGTCTTTCTATGTGAAAATTTTTTTTTTTCTGCTTAAACAGATGTTGTCTACATTATGCCCTGGAAAGAGATACCAGCAAATATCACTCTTCTTCACTCTTTCATCTCCTCACTCCAGTGCCAATCTCTCTGTTTCCTTATGTTCTTCATTTATGAACCAAAAAGGAGATTCACCAAGCATCATAAGGGAAATAAATATATTCAACTCTACCATGGATTTCTTGAGATATCCAACAGAAAGGTATTGAAAGTTTAATACAAATAGGAGAAAGAAAAAAGACATAAGCACTAAAACTGTTTGTGGCACTCAAAAAATTTTAGCATATGGTTTTAAATTGAAAAATACACCCTTCCTATCAGATAGGAGGTGCCTACAAAACTGGTTCTCTGCTAACAGATGCAGTGGCTGGGCAAATTCTGAAATGCTTCCTCTTTGGGAGATGCTATCAGGAGACACTCACTGATGTGAGTTCTCCCCTCGTTTTCCTAAACACTTTCTGTGAACAAGAGAACAAAGTCTACCAAAGTCTTTTCTTCTAAGTTGGTTATTTAATTTAATGGTTAAAACCACCCCATATTCTACATTAATTTCAAAACCTAATACAAGTTATAAATCTTCCCCAGAGTAAATAAACAAATTATCACACAGGTTTTTGTTTTTGTTTTTGTTTTACCTGAAACAGAAAGCCATGGTGTTGTCCTTCAGTTAACTGCTTTCGAAGCACCTCAATAGTTGCTATGAAGAGAATTTACAACCAGTTCAATATGACCATTTTAAATCCCCTTCCCATCATTTATTTCATCGCTTTATAAAATTGTAATGACTTTGCATTGGGGATCTGAAGGAAAGAAGACGACAACTGACTTCTGAGAATGACATTGGCCCCTTAAGACTTAGGGACAGAGAAACAGGCTGCGGCAGCTCAACCATTCTCCCCCTTAGGTATTTAAAACTAACCTTGGTAGACACAAGTGATCTGCCTCCTTGAAGTGAGTCACAGAATTTATTCAATCTTAAAACAAGAATACAAGGGCTGGGGATGTAGGTCAGGTCAGTGGTAGAGCTCTTGACTAGCAGGTGCCAGGCCCTGGATTCAGTCCCCAACACCACAAAACAAGAAAAACACCTTAGTGAGTCATTCAGGCCAACCTCCCACCATACAGGAATCTGGTGTCCAGTAAGCCTCTGTTTGAACCCTAGAATTAGGGCCCTACAACCTCAGAATTTTATAAATTAAACTGAGAGGCCGAGAACACTGACATCCAGAGGATTGAGATGAGTGACAAGCAATGGGCCCAAGTTCAGATCCACAGGACAACAGTGGATTCCGTGTGCTATTCCATGACGTTAGAAACATGTGCTTTAACTAAAATCTGCTGCCCAGTAAGTTTTCAAAGTCTTATCTCTCAAATAATGGAAATGGGAGTGGGTGGTGGTGGATATAGCTATTTAAGTTAATAGTAACATACTTATTTGACAATCCATACTCTAAAATATAGCTAAGAATGAGAAAATAGACTACATCTTTCAACAACCAAAATAGACACTGATATTCATGCCCTTTACTCACGTGGAAAATCTCACACATCACCAACACTGGGCTCTGAATTTATACATTATTCTCACAAGCTCGGCTGCTTTCTCAGCCCACAGAAGATTCAAAGCAAAAATTAAACAAGGGGATGGAGCTCTGCTAGATGGAAGCATATTAATAGCTACCACTATTTTTTTTTAAATCCCTAAGAGTCAGGAAAATTATTAACAGCAGATCTTCGGGTGTCCAAAACACACAGCAATCTGGTACTGCTTGTTTTATAGACCCACAGTTTTATATCTCAAAAACCTGAAAAAATTCTGAGCAATGAAAAATATTAGTAATATGTATAAAAATTCTATATAAAATCTTCAATTATATAGAATATTACCTATGTAAAAATTATATTTTATGCAAACTCTTTTGTAAAAATAGTTTATTTTTCAACTAAACCGGATAGTACCAAGTATCTCCTCGGCCAGTAAGGTTTTTAATATTTATTTTTTTAATTGTAGTTGGACACAATACCTTTATTTATTTTTATATGTTGCTGAGGATTGAACCCAGGGTCTCACATGTGCTAGGACAGTACTCTACCACTGATCCACAACCCCAGCCCACAATACCATTTTTTTTTTAAATTTCAAGCCAAGCGCAGTGGCACGTACCTATAATCCCAGAGGCTTGAGAGGCTGACACAGGAAGATAATAAGTTCAAAGCCAGCCTCAGCAATGATGAGGTACTAAGCAACTCAGTGAGAACCTGTCTCTAAATAAAATACAAAAATAAAGCTGGAGATGTGACTCAGTGATTGAGTGTCCCTGAGTTTGGTCACCAGTACTCAAAAGAATAAAATTAAAACTATTTCAAACTTATAAAAGGATTAAAATTTTTTCTCTTTAATACTTAGAACTCATGAGTTATTTTTTTTTAAAAAAATCAATGTCTAAGAAATAAGACCCTGTGTTCCTCCTGACCTATATTCAAAAGAGCAACAAAGCTTGCAGAAGTGGCCATTATGTTTTTGAGGGTTGTGTATCACTAAAACACAAATTCAGAATTCTGTCTTAGAATTATCAAACTAAGTTTGTGCTTCAGAAGAAATAATGAGTTAGTACAGCACTGTCTAAATTACCCATCTGCTTTCCCACCAGGCAATCTTGGGTTTTAGAAAGAGTCTATCTCAAAGCATTCAAATTAAAAACCTTTTTTCAACAGATGTTTTGTGCAATAAGTAGCAACTATTTCCATATTTTCCATATGGTAAAACAAGCTGGTTTATGACCCCAATTTGCATTCACCTTTGCATTCTTCTGTTTGAAGTGGGAGTTGCCATGTCTCTAGGACATTTAGGCTGCACATAAGAACAAATAAAACAATGACCACTGCATCCCCTGCAGCTGCCACCTGTGATTATAAGATGGGACCAGGTGTCTTGGTGAGTTGCTTCTGAAGGAAGCTGAGATAAAGCAACTTTCTAAATGACTATGCAATGGAGCTTTTAGGCAAAGGCCCTACAATTAATTGACTGTTGAAAATTAAAGCTGTAACATTGTTAGAGCTATAATAATGTTAGTTATCAATGATGCTTCACATTTATGGAATATGGACTTCTATAACACAGTATATAGCTTACTGAAAAAAAAACCTCATGTTCTGTAAAATTGTGCATTAAAAATGTCAGGATTCATTAACCACAGGCTATGAGAAACTACAAGGACAACGAACCTGATTTTAAAACGGGCAAAAAACACAGGCACTTCACAAAGAAGATACATAATGGCCATTCAGTACATAAAAATGTGCTCGACATCATTAGTCCTCTAAAAGATTAAAATTACAATGAGATGTCAGCAGAGTGGCCAAAATAAAAATTGACACTATAAAATACTGAAGATGTGGAACTTCCATACGGTGCTGGGGGAGTGTAGAATGCCCAACACCATGGAAAAGTGGTAGTGTCTTTGAAATTTAGAGCCACAACCATGCTATGACGTAACAATTCTGTTCCTCGGTATTTATTCTAGATGAAATAGGAACTTATGTCCACACACAGATCTGTGCACAGATGTTCAAGGCAGCTTTATCCATTATAACTTAAAATGGGAGATACTCCAGAGGTCTAGTAATAGGAGAAAAGAATCAAATTACCTTTTATCTCAATAAAAAATTACCTCAATAAAAAAATTACTGGGAAATAAGACAAGTGAATCTCAAAAATATTACGCTGAGGGAGAGACACCAAAGAGTACATATGGTATAACTCAATTCTAGAACATGCCAACTACCCTAACCAGATCAGTGGCTGCTCCTTGTGGTGGAGGTGGGGGAGGAGCATTCAACTGGGAAGTAGCTCAAGGGAGAGTTCTGACAGAAGTTCTGTGTTTTGATGTGCTTTCCTGAGGCTGGTGGGACAGTGAACTTAACGTCTGAAAACACTTGAAAATTACAACAAAAATAACAGGGTTTATAAGATAAACAGGGTTAGGAAGAAACCACTAAAAAACATATGCAACATTGTCACCAGAGTCTAGTAAATACAATCATTAAATTATTAGTACCCAGGAAGAGTACATGGATCACCCAGACATGCATCTCAGAAGGCCTCACAGAGATTAGAAATGCACAAATACAACAGAGCAAGAACCTTTAAATGAGACAACGCTGGTTAGGTGCTAAGAAAACGCAGGTGGAAGTGGAACTCTCAGACAGCAGGGCTGCCAAGGAGAACAAGCCATCTGCTGTGCACAGAGCTCTGCAAGGCTGGGGTTGAGCCTCTCTAGGGGGTGGGGGAGGCCCAGGTGCAAACACTTGTTTTGAATTTTCACAAAATAAAGCTGAAAGGGCTCCTGGTGCCCATTTGGCAGCCAAGCTAAGGGGTATTTTCCTTTCTTGCAGAAGGTGATTGATCATTCTATGTCTTCCAACCCAGATCCTATTTCCAAGAAGATAGTGAATGAAACAATAGAAATCCCCTCTTACATTAACATGATATTCAGCATTAACCAATAATCACAGAAGAGGTAATTCCTGTTATAGGAACATGCTCTGCATAGTGTATACCAACTCTGGGCAAGTGCTAGCCACCACACTAAACTTGCAGTTCTCAACTACATTGGTGGAAAAGGACGCTGAGACACAGAGAGGTAAAGTGACTGGCCCAATTTCACCTGGCAACGCTTTATGTAGAGTCTGAGTCAGGACAAAGGTTGGTTTAACTTCAAATCCCAGGCTCTTAAACTATTACACCACACTTCCTAGATTATTTCATGCATACCTACCTTTTTCATTGGGAAAATTTGGGCCCCTATCTCATCAAAGCAGTTGAAACAGCTATAATTGGCTCTGGTGTCCTCCTCAGACTTATCCTGACACCTGCCATCTTTAACTGTGTCAGTCACCCAGGTCCCCCTTTGTCTCAACTCCCTCTTCTTTGTTTGCTCAGGACACATGACTGTCATCTTGCATCTGTCCTCTAAACAGTGAAATTCATGTGCAAATCATATGTTCAAATGAAAAATTATGAAACATATAAGCATCTTGGGATCTCTTTACAAGGAAATATTTATGGTTCCTAAAGGTAATTCCCTCATCTTCTATTAAATGAGTGACTCAATGAAGACTTCATGTTAGATACAACAAGAGATGGCAAATAGTAAAGGGATGATGGCTTGGATTAGATCAACTAAGTCTGTTTCCTGTAGATAAGAAGTGCCTCAATGTGTTGTATGCATACCCTAGATCAAGAAACTTTTTAGATTCCCTTTTTAAAGGAAACCTGCCATTATAATCCAGTATTGCCTACATTAACTAAGATAACTTAGGTATGAAGAAAGAAAACATAAAAGTAACCACTCAAGACATTTAATCATTTGAATGGCGCACACACACACTTCATGGAGGTGAGCAAGCACGCTGACCACTTCAAAACTCAGATCAGTCCTCGTGGCAGTGAAAAACTTACACAGTACTATTTAGTCAACCCTCAGTTCAGAATTTTTAATCCAATGTCATAAACACCATCTCACTTCTAGTTTGTACACCTTGTGATTGGCCTAAACATTTGGACAAATGAACTTGATCCACAATTTGCTGAAGAAGATTCATGGATCAGAAAGCAATGGTTATAAATACTTTGTTTTTTAAAACTAGCCAGAGAGTTTCAGAAAAGCTAAGTAGGTTGAAATATTTTTCTTTTCTGACTCAGAATTCAAATGTCTGATTCAGAACTGAAGTAGCATGGGGTGGCAGTGGTTGTGGTGAACTGCACTTGGATGCATTTGTGATAACTGTCCCACCTCTGCTGTCCCTAGTCTATCGAGAATATGTGCCATACAGAGCAGTTTGAAAGCATGTGCTATCTAAATTTCCCTCTTCTCCCAAAGGATGACTTTTAAGGGATTAGAAAAAAACTTCATGTAAGGAAATGATCTTAGGAGCAAACTCCTGATGTGTATGCCTTCTTTGGACAGGAAAAAATCCAAACAAGTAAGGGATTTCAAAAATCCAGGCAGTTTATGATCAACTTGAGCTAGAAAGGAAGTGTCCACCCTTCTTAATCCAGGCAGAAAAAAAAAATCATGCATTCAACCCAGGACAACCTTCATATGTTGCTTTTAATATTTGATCTAATTATCCCCCTGAGAACAAACTGGAAAAACAACACCAAATTCAGTAATATTACGAGGATTCACTTTGGGATAAGTTACAAAAGTTGACTCTCCCAAGAAAGTGCTACAAGGAAATCATAGAGTGAGGGGACACATTCTTAGCAACCTATAAAATTATGGGGTATAATATTTAATCAAAAGATAAATATAACTGGGCCACAAGACTAGTCCTCCTAGTATCTAAAGCAGACATGCCTTAAACCAAATTTGAAATGCCTTATTTTTAATGCAACATGAACAGTTCTAATCACCAGGGAACCTTCTCCAGTGCCCTCTGAGCAATAATAAAATAATACATATACTGACTGAAAGCATGCCTCATATTGCTGACAAGTGAATCAAAATAAACCCACACCTAAAATTACTGAAAGCTAGCAAGTTCATAAAGGTTTAATAATAATAATAAAATGCTGAATAGCCACTGCTGTTTCAAAACTAGATAATTCCTTCAATTCTTAGGCAGTTCTCTTAGATAACAGTAGAAAGGGTCCAATAAATCCAAAACAAACACAAGCCTGAAATTTTTCATTTCTAGCTAACCTTAAGCTTATATTTAGTTGTTTATTACTCAAACCAAGTAACTTTCTATAAAAAGAACACTCACACTGCTAGAACAAGAAGCAGTTGGCTGATAAATGGCTAAATAAGATTTATGTTTACTGTACTTGTTTCTAGAATAAAACAGGTTTATAAATAACTTGACATTTGTAATTTGACAATTGTCTTCTCACATATATTCTTAGTAAATGCTTATGCACTAGTAGATAACACAGAAAGAAATGACAAATATTCCAAGTTTTAAAATGTAAAGTATGTATGTAAACTACCATTAACATTTTTAAATATTTTCACACATACTTAATATTTGGGTACATAATGAATTCATAATTATTTGCCCAATCTCCTACTTAGAATAAAATGAAGGAGTAGAGTCATTTCTACCATATGATGGACAAAACCTGATTAATAAATTCATGATAGAATTTGCAAACAATTTTCAAGTTCAAATATTCCAATACACACAAGACTTCTTGTTTACTTTCAGAGATTTGAAAGTTTAATTTTAAAAGAAAAAAAAAAAACATCATGAACAAATCTAACTCACAACAAATAACCCAAACGGAAAGCTAATGTTAAATCCCTGTACCTAACCATTAGGCAGACTTCTCTAAGAGCCCCACAATCCTGCCCCCCCACCAACCCTTCCCCGGTCATAGAGTCAGCAATAACACAGCGACTGTAATCTAGACCAATGGCTGTCGTCCCTTTGCCCCTGCCTTAGGGTGAAATACACTGGGGACATAAATGAATATTTGCTACTTACTTTTCAGTTTTCTTGTCTTCTCCTGAAGCTTCTGGCAAGTGTTCGATAACTCACTATTTATAGTTTGGAGGTTCCGTTGTTCTGAAATTGCTTCCTCTAATTTATGCAGTAAAGACTTAGTTTTTTCACTGGCAGAAGAGGCGGCCTGATCGCGAGCCTTAACCTGGATATGCACAGTGAACACTGGGTTTTAGCAGGATAGCCAGGGAAGACAGCAATTGAGCGCTCACTCACATGCATGAAACTGAAAATGTGCTTTTCTTCTCAGGGAAGTGATAAGCGTCCTCTCCACTTCTGCCGTTGCTGTTTGCCTGGGCTTGGTGTGCCCGAGCTGTTTCTACAGTGGTAGAAGTCCTGATATGTCAGGTTGCCTCCTTCTGCAAAGTCCCCTCTTTCATCATCAGGCTGTTGACACCGCCTCTTTTACAACTCCCCCCTTACTTCCTCCGCTTTGCTGCCAGTCACTAGGGACTTAGCTTCACAGTTCCTCTTTATTTTTTTTTTCTTTGTTCCTCCTTCATTTTTACTTCATGGTCTTAAGGACATCTGAGGAGACTCACCCCCTGAATCTAATGTACTTAGGTCCACCCTACCTGCTCCTCTGCGTCCTCCAGACGTTGGCTAGCTTCCTGGAGCTTCTGCCTGAGGATGACTTCCTGGTTGACAGCATCTTCTTGCAGCTGTTTGATGGCTCCTAGTTGTTTCTGACTGGAGTTTAAAAAAAAAAAAAGAAAGAAAAAGAAAAAAAAAAAGTCCAAACCACAAGCTGTCAGTGACATTTCAACTGAGAGTCACTCTGGGAAACCAACAAATTCAAACTCATAACTCCTCAGAGATCAGAGGAAAAAATGACGGTTTTTACATACACAGCAGTCCTTCACAAATACAGAAGTTCAAGCCTAGTGTATTGATCACCTAGCCTTGACTTTACAGCTGAGGACAATGTTCAGAGCACTTAGCCTTTGTGGCCTGCTGAGAAGATGGCTCTACAATGAGGTCAGGGTGACAGGTGCAATACTTATACTTCACAGTTAGACTTTAGCCTTTACAGAAAAGGGAAGAAAGAAGTGAGGGAGGGAAAGGAAACCAAAGAGAGCTTTGTTTCATGACACTATGCTTTCTCCTTAAGGGCTGTCAATCGTGGTATACACAGGTGCCACTGGCACAGGAAGTCCACCCCAAATGGGGATGAAGCTGGCTGCGAACATTTCTGCTGCAGTTATCCCTTCTGTAGCCCTTCGCCACTTCTACCCTACTACAAATCTTGGGATTATTCTCACCCCTCATTTGGATCCAATACTAATTCTCTATTAGTCAATGTGATTGTTTAATCTGTACCACATGGCAACACATTGCTGCTTATCTGGAAACAAAGTGACTTGAATAAGGACCTTATTTATTCCCATTCTACATTGGTAAGAACCCAGCCTTGGTTACAAGAAGGACCACACCAAAGACAAGAAAGGTCTCACAAAATCATTTGCCATTATGGCACACAAACACCTAAACAACAATAACTAAAATGATTTAAATTGCCACACACTTTCTACTAAGCATTCTCCAATAGCTTATAGGCAGTGGTGGTTTTGTTTTTCTAACTGTAGTAAGAACACTCAATAAATACATAGCAAATACACAATACCATTAAGTGGGCCTAACGTTGTACAGGTCTCTAAACCATATTCATTTTGTGTAGCTGAAATTTTATACCTGTTGAATAGCAACTCCCCTATTCCCTCCCTCCAAGCTCTGGCAACTACCATTCTTCTCTGTTTCTATAGGTTTAACTATTTCAGATAGCTTGTATAAGTGGAATAATGCAATGTTTGTGCTGTAATTTATTTCACTTAGCAAAAGTTTTCCAGGTTCACAGTTATTGCCAGATGTGGCAGAATTCTCTTCTTTGGCAAGGTTGGATAATATTCCTTGGTACATTCTTCATTCATTCATCCACTAAAAGATGCCTAGGTTGTCATAAGTAGGGCTGCAATGAGCATGCAAATGCAAATCTCTCTCCAACATCCTTACTTTAGTTCTTTTGGGTAAATATCAAGGAGTGGGGCTGTTGGATCATATGCTGGTTCTGTTTTTAATATTTTAAGGCACTTTTTTCATAGTGTCTATGCCATTTTACATTCCCAAGAGTGTACAAGGGGTTCTCCATATCTTCAAAAGGCAACTTTTTTGTTCATAATAGCCATCTATGGGTGTGAGATGATATCCAATTGTGGATTTTATTTGCATTTCCTGAATGATTAGTAACGTTGACTATCTCTTCACATACCTGTTGTATGTCTTCTTTGGAGAAATGTCTACTCAAGCTCATTTTTTAAAAAATCAATGATTAAAAAATTATTTTTGCTATATAGTTGAGTTTATATAGAGTTTCTTATATATTTTGGATGTTAAGCCCTCATGAGATATATAGTTTGTTATCTGTAGACTGTCTCTTTACAGAAAAGTTTCCATCTGCTGAAATCCCAATGTTCATTTTGTCTGTTGTTGCCTAGGCTTCTGGTGTCCTATCCAAGAAATTTTGTCATGATCAATGACATGAAGCTTCCCCCCCCACCCCATTTTCTTATAGAACCTTTCAGCTCCAGATCACAGGTCTAAATTGACTGATTTCATTCTTCCTGCAGATATACAATATTACCAATGTTATTTGTTGAAGAAAATATCCTTTCCCTGTTGTGTATTCTTTGCACTCAAATATATCTGGATTTATTTCTAGGCTGTTTTATTCTCTGGTCTCTGCATCTTTATGCCAGTACCATACTAGTCTAACCACTGTAACTTTGAAATAGATTTTGAAATGGGGAAGGATCATGCTTCTTTGTTCCTCTTCTCAAGATTTTTTTTAGGCAATTCAGGGTCCTTTGAAGTTCCATATGAATTTTAAAATTGTTTTTTTCTATTTCTATAAAAAGTATTATTGGGATTTTTGCTGGTAATTGCACTAAGTCTATAAATTTCTTTGGCTATCTGGAATTTTAGAAATGTGAAGTCTTCCAATCCATAAACATATTTCCATTGATTTGTCTTTAATTTCTTTCATCAATGTTTACGGTTTTCCATACATAAGTCTTCCACCTCCTTATTTAAATTTATTCCTAAGTATTTTATTCTTTCTGATGTAATTGTAAGTTTAGTTTTCTTTCAGATAGTCACTATTAACATATAGAGTTTGATTTTTGTATGTTGACTTTATATCCTGAAATTTTATTGATTTTACTCTAGCAGGATTTTTTTGTGGAATCATTAGAGTTTTCTACATATAAGATCAGGTCAACTACAGATAATCTCACAGTCTTCCTTTTTGATTTTCATGCCTTTTGTTTTAAATGTTCTAAAACTTCTAGTACAATGCTGAATAGAAGTGGGCATCATTGCCTTGTTTCTGATATTAGAGAAAATGTTTTTCACTGTTAAATCTTAGCTGTGGGTTTTGTATACCTGACTTTTATGTTGGGTTAGTTTCCTTCAATTCCTAATTTGCTGTGTTTGCATGAAAGACAGTTTTGTTAAATGTTTTTTCTGCACCTATAGAGATGATTGTGCAACATGTTTCATTGGTCAACACAGTATGCCACATGGATTGATTTGTATGTGTTGAACCATCCTTACACCCCAGGAATAAAGCCCGCTTGGTAGTGTTGAATTTGGTTTGCTCATAATTCATCAAGAATATTAGACTGAGGGCTGGGGTTGTTGTTTAGTGGTAGAGTGCTTGCCTAGCATGTGTGAGGCATTGGGTTCGATTCTCAGCACCACATATAATAAAATAAAAATCCATCAAAACCTTTTTTTTAAAAAAAAAGGAATATTGGTCTGGGGTGATCTTAACATGTGTGTGTTTGGCTTTGGTATCAGGGTAATGCTGGCCTCATAAAATGCTTCTTTTTTTTTTTTCTTAAAGGCAACATTTGTTGAGTTTCAGAAACACTAGCATTCAATCATTAATGTTTGGTAAAATCTCTACCTGGGCTTTTCTCTCTTGAGGTGTTTGATTACTGAACTTTTTTTTTTTTTTTTTTTTAATGGTACTGGAGATTGAGCCCAGGGCATGATGGCAGTGCTCTGACACTGAGCTGCATCTCCAGTTCATTCTTACTAGTTATAGGTCTATTCACACTTATCTAATTCTGTCTCAGTAGATGGCATGTTTTATGAATTTATTAGTTTTCTTTTAACTTATCCAGTGTGTTGGCATAGAATTTTTTTATGATTCTTTGCATTCCCATGGCTTAAGTTATATCTCTCCTATTTCTGCATCTGAATTTTTTTTCTTACTAAGATTTGATAGGCTTTTTTCTCTTTTCAAAAATCCAATTCTTGGTTTTGTTGCTTTCTTATTTCTGCTATAATCTTTATTAATCCCTTATTCTAACTTTGCACTTAAGTTGATCTTTTTCTAATTTACTGAGGTATAAATTTAGGTTACTTGAGACCTTTTTTCATGTGCTTATTTCTATAAATTTCCCTTAACATTGCTTTAGCTGCAACCCAAAGGTTTTTGCATACTCTTTGTTTTCATTTGTCTGAAGATATTTTCTAACTTCCCTTTTGATTTCTTCATTCACCCATTGGTTGTTCAGGACTATATTGTTAAATTTCCACGTTTGTGAATATTCTAGGTCTCCTTCTGCTTTAGATTTCTAATCTCATTCTATTTTTGAAAAAGAAATAGTACAATTTCAAAACTTCTTAAATTTGTTAATACTTGTTTAGTAGCCTACTGCATGATCCATCCTGGAGAACATTCAATGTGCACATGAGAAGAAGGATATTCTGTGGCAATTGAGTGGAATTTTCTCTGTCTGTTAGATCCATTTGATCTGTAACATTGTTCAAGTGTGACATTTCCTGATTGTTTCTGTGCATATTCTACTTATTATCGAAAGTGGAGGACTGAAGTCTCCTACTGTTATTGTATTGCTGTCTATTCTATTTCTCCTGTCAGTTCTGCCAGGTGCTCTGATGTTGGCTGCATAGACATTTATGATTATACCTTCCTGATGAATTGACCTTTTATCATTATATAACATCCTTGTCTCCAGTGACAGTTTTTTACTTAATCTATTTTGCCTAATGTGGATATTCACTTGCATTTAATTATTGATAGGAAAGGACTTATTACTATGTCACCCCTTTTATTTATTTTCAACATGTCTTATAATTCTTTTGACCCTCTCTTCCTCTTATTGTCTTCCTTTGAATTCTGTTAATTAGATTGCTTTCTCCTTATCTTCTATAAGTATTTTTTGTTGTATGAGACTTACATAAAATCTTACAGCTATATAGTATTTTCAATCACATACACTAGACTTTTACTTCTCTCTACACATTTTCATAACTGATTACAATTTATATCTTTTTATATTATGTATTCATTAACATTTTTATAGTTAAATTACTTGTACTTTTTTTTCTTTTTGATTCTGAGGATTGCTTAACCACTGAGCCATATCCCAGCATTCCCCTTCCTTTTGAGACAGGGTCTCACTAAGTTGCCAAGGCTGATCTCAAATTTGTGATACTCCTGCCTCAGCCTCAGCTTTTGTCTGCCTGG